ATATTAAATTAAAAATTATATTTAGGGCATGTTTGAGTCACATTATTTCAAAAAAAATGCATTCTTAAATAATGATTTGACATCATTTTAACCACACATTCTTCAATAAAATAATATTACACGCAAATCAAAAAAATTTCCTTATTTTTTAACTACACATTTTCCATCAATACACTATTCAATAATACATTATTACCAAAATAATGTGGCTCAAACACCACCTTAATGTATCAAAATATTGTATTTTAACTAATACCACATTTAAAAAAATTACATTTAACGCAAGAAAAATACGCATGATAAAAATAACAACTAATTTTGACATTTAATTCTTGGAGGATCTAGAAATGATCTTCCTAAATACTAAATTATTGTTTTAGTTTAATATTGTATTTTACTTTAAAATTTATCTTTCAAAAATAATGTTGTTCCAGTGCTAATTTCTTTTTAATTTCTACCTATGAAACTTATAACTTTTGAGTTTTAGTAATTTCATTTATTTATGCATTTCCAATGCAAAATTTTCTTAATTTCTAATTATAAAATTTGTAGCTTTTGAATTTTATTTTAATAAGTTCAATATTACAAATATATGTTAATTAGTAATCAGATTAAAATAAAATTAGATTAAATTAAAAATTATTATAATATAAAATGAACCGCAAAATAGAGATAATGAAAATTTTCGAAAAATATATTATGGTGTGGTGTTTTAATGTACCACTAGAATGGATTACACTAACTTGATACAAGGCTGGAGATATCCTAATTAAACAAAATTTCAAATAGGGCAATCTACGAATTGAATTTTGATTCGAAAAAATTAGGGTCTCAATCCAATAACCCGAACTATCCAATTTGTTATAATAATATAATATATTTTATATATTACAGCATAATTTATTACACAATTTTTTCATTTTGAGACGTGTATATTTTATGGGTTTTTTGAATAATGTCAAACTGATCAAATTTCAACATAAAATTAGTAAATTATAATAAATATTGCAATCAAATTGAAAATCGACTCTTTCAATGAAAAAAGAATGTGTAAAATGTTTCGGATCGGATTATTGGATTGAATCGAATATTTGATATCATAACAAATCGAATATGAATTTAACAATCAAATACCCATGAATTATCGGATTGAATCAATGAATTATTCTTATCAGATCGGATATGGAAAGATATGGATTGATCCAGTCCATATCCAATCTATTTTCAGCCCTAGATGCAAATAACTAATAAAGTTAACTTTCAACGCACTAAACAGAAAATAGCTACGCGTGTTAAGATGCCTCCCGAAAATTCTGGATTTTTTAGAGGCCAAAAACTTGTGAGATTTTAAGTATATTCATCTAAATTCTAACATTCAAATGAAATTTCAATACTGAAAATATAAAACCATGAGAGTGAGGTTAAGAAAATATTATGAGAAGGCTAAACGAACTCAGTAGCCAATTATTTACCATCCACAACTTCGGACTGAATCTGGATCTGAAAGATGATGAAACAGAGCAATTTCACGAAACTCGTCTCTCCTTAGTGTAGTTCCAACCCGTCTCTACCAGTTGCCACAGATTCTACTCACTTACACGCGCAGATGATGAAGAGAAGTGCTCTAAACTTTCCCGATTGTATAAAATCTATCACAATTGGGAGAGACTGGTTGAAATACAAAGGATCCGCTTACGCCTTCTGCTTATGTTTTTGGTGGAAATGTCAGTGTTCCTATAAATGAAAATTTTAGGGTTAGTGATCTACGTGAAGTTCTTGAAGTTGGGCTGTGTGTAGTTGGACTTGGCCCAATAAGTATTTAGCTACACGATTTTACGACGTCGTATTTATGTCCTGTCCCAATTTTTTCTTTTTCAGTTTCTATTGTTACTTGTTTTTATATGAATCTTACCAAAATATTAGTATTTATTGTATGGATCCTTTTTATTAATATACTATTAGTGTTATCAATTTAAACTTATTTTGCCCATCATAGCAAAATGAGTTTTGGAATGATGAATCTTGAAAAATGTGGGATTAAAAAGTAGAAAAAATTTTAAAGTTTACTTACAAAATATTTTATTAAGAAATTTTATGATTAAAATGAATTTGAAATTTGTTTTTTTTTTTTTAAATAATGGTAGAAAACATAGGCTAGGATTCCAATTCTTACTACTTAATTTATTTGATGAATTTCATATTTGGCCTCCATTTTTTTAAATTTATTTTCAATTACACATTTCATGGAATTTACAATTTTTTCAATCACACATTTTATTAATTTTTATTAATATATATATATATATATAGAGCCCTATAAACAGGACCATAAGTGGACCATATCGTCCGCCTTTGATCATTGTTTTTCGCCCATGGGAACTTTAGTTATACGTTTATTTTGTTGTAAAGATTCACGTGCATAAATTATATTTCAATAACTAATATTGTACGTGCATAAAGTTAACAAAATTTGGACAAATCAAAATTAATTATGTAAAGTGTAATCCATAAATACATGACATGTGAGTCCAGTTGAAGAGTTTGATTCTTTCACCTTAAGAAGATAATGCTCCACATGGGTGCTAACTAATTTTCGACACCTATCTCTCGAGATATAACGATCATCCCGCTATAGGAATGCTCATTAATTGCGGAAACCAACGAACCTAATAATGCATTGATGAATTGAATGAATTAACAAAATTCCATACATTGGGGTTACATATATAATTGTTGAAAAGTTGTGTCTCAAAGGACACAACTTTTGGAATTTGTCTTCATAGGAAGAGACGTATTCATTGAAAAATAAGAATTTCTAAAGTCATAATCTTTCATATGAAAAGACACATCTTTCTAGTCTAACATATTTTAAAAATTTTGTTATTATTCTTTTTTTTTTTTCAACAATCTCACGTACTTAAGTGGCTTAAATTTGATTTAATTTCCCGTTCCCTGACTAATGGCTTCAACTTAAATATTCAGATAAAAATTGGTTTGAAACAATTTTCTGTATAAATTCCAGTTATCCCTTTTTTGAATGAAAATTAATACACATAACTATGAGGGTACTAAAGAGAGTTCAAGTGAAAAAGCTATTGCATTGGAATAGGTACCTTATAGGTTGATATAGTGACACATGCCATATACAGGCCTTCTTGATACTTGATCTTGATTAATAGATTTTCTATTATTTGGCTCTCATTCATTGTTCTACTATAGTTCTATAAATAAAAACACACACCAATTGCACTAAACCAGCAAGAATTACCAAATTGGTCACTTATATTTCTCCTCTTTAAGTAATGATATTCGCAATGAAAACTATCGGAAGTCGCCCTATGTGATATACATGCAGCGGTTAGTAATTTGATACATTAATATAATAATTTATTTTATTGATTAATGCATCAAAATACAAAATTATCACATGTATGTCACGTAGGACGATTACAGGTAATTTTCACCACGAATAGCATTATTCTTTCTCTTATGGTGATTAGTGATTAGTGATTATTGTAGGGTCTAAATCAAATGACAACCCCTCGAAGATCACACTATTCACTACACAGTCGCCGATAAATCCAATGGATGAAAGCAATTAACTCATAGTAATCACAACACAAAAATGGACATGATTTGAATTAAATTGCAAATATTAAAGCTAATCAAATAAATAAATAAATAAAATCCAAGTTGCATAATTTATCCTAACAAGATAAAATCTAGCTTATATTGTAAAATATAAATCCATTACAAAAGTTAGAGAAAAGCATCAACTAGTTGTAGAAATCAAAGGAAGATGGTAAATGAAACAGTTGAACCCATCCCAAATAAGAAATCATAGTTATAAAAATCGAACCGGATTGGCCGGTTCAGTCCGAAAATCATCGAACTTGACCCAGATCGAATTTATGGCTAAAGAAACAACCCGTCATCCACCAGTTTGAACCGTCAATTTTTAATAAAACCCGTGTTCTACTTTTTCCTTGACCCCACCAGGTCTTAATTAATCCATGTTTCCCCGTCTTTCCAATTTCCCTACACCCCTGTCTTCACAAGTTATGAAATAATAGGGATTCTTGCAAAATCAAAAAGCTCAACCGTTGTCTCCAATCTCTTTCAATTCAACCACTTCCAAAAATTCAAATCTCCAATTTCAAGTTGTAAGAGATGGAAGAACGAGTCAGTCTCTGTCAGATGCATTTTGCTAAAAACACTCAACCAACTTGATTTTCTACTCATTCTAATTGTCTAAGTCATACATATATGTTTTCTTCTTCTGGACTTGGACCCCTTATGAATTAGCTGAATTAGAAATGGAGAAAATAGGTTGGAATTGGATCATAGGTTGAAAGATGAAAAAACGGTGACTGAAGGAACGAAAAAAAAAAAAAAGAAAAAAAAAAAGATACCAATTAGACTCCTTTTTGGGCATAGACAAAGGACGACAATTGGGAAATCATGTAGATTGTAATAAGAAAATTATTACTATGTTTAGTTGATTGATTGAAGTGATGAGAAATATAATATTGGGAAAAAAATCAAGAATGTAATTGCGTTGACCGACTTAAAGGAGAGGTCCCAGTGGCCAATATCTTGTTTTTAATTCTTTGAGTAGAATGAGATAGGCTTTTGTGGGTTTAATTCCAAAATGGTCACTGACTGACACCGAGACAGTTTGTAGTTCCAGTTTCTATTATTGGCATAAAACGCCCTACATTTCATGTTAATTGTGAAAAACGTTCGTAACTTTCATTTTTTTGATTTTTACTCTTATTTCAACGTTTGGTTGCGTAAAACATCATTTTTCCTATTTTTGAACGTAAAATGATCATTATACCCTCTTATTTAAAACAAAAAACCAAAAAAGAAAAGAAAAATAAAGCACAAATTGCAATCATACTCCCAAACGTTCTGAAAAAATAAAAATCAATCCAAAAAATTATAAAAATCATCTCTTTCTTCTCTCCTCTCCCTCTTCCTCCCCCGCTCCTCCACCACCAAAACTCCACCCTTCAGCTGCCTTCCACGTCGGACTAACATACCACTTTGAAGCCCTCACTTCCCTCTTTCAAACCCACCCAAGCTTTGACCATAATTCCAATCGATTTGGCTGAAAATTGAAGCCAAAATAGGCTGACCAAAACATATTTAAATAACAAATTCAATAATTTTTTTCCACCAACCCCATCTCGCCTACAAAACCCCGTATTAGAGAAATCCATGTGCTAACCCCATCTCGCCTACAACCACCACCCCATGGGAGAGAAATTGCTTGGGAAACGAGTAGCCACAAACATGAAATCTATCAATGGCCAGTAGTACTGAAAGTGAAAATTTCACCACCATGAGTAGAGAATTCAATGCTCTAGTTCTCGTCGAATCCTCAATCGGAAACAGCAATAGCCGCTCGGAAAACGACGTTCCCATGGTGGCGAATAGTGGGAACAACTTGGGGAGGATCCGAGAGGAAGTGCCGGAGGAAACCAATCCTTTGGCTATTGTGCCTGATAATAATCCTCTCAATATTCCCGTCCTCATGCAATCACCACAAGGTAATTTTAAAAAATCAGAAATATATTCTATAACTTACAGACGGCAATGAAAAAAATTTTATTGAATTTGTTGTTTAAATATGTTTTGGGCAGCCTATTTTGGCTTCAATTTTTAGCCAAATCAATTGGAGTTATTGTCGGAGCTTGGGTGGATTTCGAAGAGAGAAGTGAGGGTTTCAAGGTGGTATGTTGGTCCGTGCCCAAGGTGGTCGGAGGGTGGAGTTTTGGTGGTGGAGGAAGAGGGAGATGAGAGAAGAAAGAGATTATTTTTTAATTTTTATAATTTATTGGACTGATTTATATTTTTATCAAAGCGTCTGGGAGTATGATTGCAATTTGTGCTTTATTTTTCTTTTCTTTTTTTGTTTTTTGTTTTAAATAAGAGGGTATAATGGTCATTTTACGTTCAAAAATAGGGAAAATGATGTTTTGCGCAAACAAACGTTGAAATAAGGATAAAAATACCAAAAAATGAAAGATAAGTACGTTTTCCACAATCAACATAAAAGATAGGGACGTTTTGTACCAATTACCCTAAGTGAATTAGAATTTAAAAATGTTAAATCCCAACCTTGAGGGTCCCTACCCTGGAGCAGCGTGAGAGAGGTAAATCGCAGATTATGCCTCCAAGGGTATATGGTGGAAGGCTGCTTGTACACTTGCACTTACTCAAGAATCAAATTCATATTTCAGGATTCGAACCCTTGACGCAGCAGTCTCAACTAAAACTGAATTTCTCCACCCTCCCCTTTTACCACTTGGAGATGTGCCCTGGGGGCAAGTGAATTAGAATTTAGATATGGGGCTTGGTTGTTTTATCTAATATATGATAAGGTAAAATATAAATGTAAATGACCCTTTTTTTGTTCATTTCATACTTATAGTTTATTAAGGGTTTTTTTTTTCACTGATTTGTAAAAAGAAAAAATATATAATAATAATAACTAAATTTGGTTCTTGATTCTAGTAATGGAACTAGCTCCGAAATCAAAATCGAGGAACCAAAATCATAAAATTGAACCGCTCAACTTGGTTTGATTTGATTATTTTCTCAATCCCTAGTCATCAAGTACTTTTTTAAAGTCATTACCTTGACTTTTAAAATATGATCACTCAGAATTCACAAGAAGAATATACTACTTTTCTTCGCGAAAAATCACATTCAAAGTATGACTTAAGCCTTTGTCCATTTACTTTCAAGTCACCTTTTGCTCATGATAAAGCTACACCACTTGTGATAATATTTGAAAAATTATTAAGCATCCCAACAAATGAAAGCAGAGAGTTTACACTTCAACGAGAAACAACTTGAGCTGAAGTTCATAGACTTTGTTAATTGTTGCCTCACTTTGAATTCCTGTCTCAAAATGTATCTGTCATGCTGTTTCCGCCTCTTCTCCTTATAGATCGAGGCTTTCAAATTCATTATCATTTTCTTGATGATTTTTTCAATCTAACTCTAGTGCGACGATTTCGTCTTATAATTATAGAAGTAAACAAAAATAAAAAATAATCGACTCAAAAAAAATCACATATTAACAATAAATCTTACTTAGAGGTCAAGATCATATGTGTAAAAATTAAATTTATTGTGTCCAACAAGCTTTGCAGCTTATACAGAAATTGCGAGGTTTGACCTAGTCCATGTTGAACTTGTTCAGTGTTGATCAGGCATGCCTCTGAACCAAAATGTAATCAAAATATTAGGATGTGTTGTTCTCTTGTGAGTTATAAATAACTCCTCTTAGCCTAGTGATGGCCATGCCCGTCCTGCCCAAACCCCGTCTGTCCTGTCTTGGGCGGGGCGAAATTTTTTTTCATCCCTATCTCAACCTAATCTAGGAGAAATAATAAAATTATGATATGTGTAGATAACGAGAAAATTTCAGATGTTAGATTGAATTTAAAATTAAAATTTAACTTAAGTTCATATTTGATGTAGGTTAGTCAATGTCAACAATTAATTTTAACCACACTTTTTATGGAATTCACAACTTTTTAATTAAATATTTTGACTCTATTTGTCTACCATTATTTCATTTTTTTTCAAATTCATTTTCAATTACATATTCTTACAATACAATTTTTTACACGTAAATCTAACCACACATTCCCAAAAAATATAATGCTCTAGAACTCATTTTCCTACTTTAATGATAGACAAAGATGAAATTTATCATTTTTTTTTAATCAAAATACACTAAAATTTTAATTTTAATTTTAATATACATCAAGTGAGTCAAGTATATAGTAGGAGTAACTCTCAGTATACTAAGCCCCTGGTTGAGCCCCATTCTTTCTAGAAAATACATTCTTTAAACAAAGTTTTGATATCATTTCAACTACACATTTTTTAATAAAATAATATTACACGCAAATTCAAAATGTTTCCTTATTTTTTAACTGTACATTTTCCATCAAATACATTATTCAAAAAATGCATTCTTATAAGAAAAATGGGTTTGAGCCACTTTTTTTTGGGAAAAAATTGTATTATTGAATAGTGTTTTGACTCAATTTCAACCACATATTTTTCAACAAAATAATATTACATATGTTGGATTTTTTATACCCAATAATCCCGGGCAATGATAATAAATAGTGTCGGATAGTCGGATTAGATTTCATAGGCTTCAGCTGATGATTGAAATATTTATTAACACACTCGATTAATTGGCTCAAACCAAAAAATAACTTGAGGGTCATTTGAAGCAACTTAATATAGTTAATGTTGCTCACGACCCATTTACTTCTTGGACAGCTCAATTTGTGTTCCCACCCCCTTCAACTATTAGTTGGTCCATGAGCCCACTATATTATTACACCCTAAAAATATATATTGGCCTCATTGTTGAATAAGCCATGTGTGTGCGCAATTGAAAAGAGGCAGCCGACATTTTTCTCTTGTTTTCTCTCTTGAGCCTTAAAATTGAATCTGTCTTCCTGTATTCTTGGTTATTCATTGTAGCCGCCATATTGTGTTCTTTGTGAACACATTGAGTTGAGCAACCAAAGTAAGAATCGTTGTTTGGGTTGGAGCCATAGTTGAGTGTGTTTAATAAGGTTGAGATTGGTGAAACTGAGTCCGGAAAATCTACCATCGGAGGTCGATCCTTCAACATTTGGTATCAAAGCGAGGTTGGGGTGGAATTTCCGGTAAAAACTCGACCAGAAAACAAAAAATCTGACTGCCCAGATTTTCCACCAAAAATCGCACCTGCAAACTCAATTTCCCGACGATCCAGACGTCTTTTGGTGAAACGGAGACTAGGGTTGAGACGTGCAAGTGGAGGCGGTTCTGGGTGTGTGGTGCGTGATTCTGGCATCGGCGCGTGGCTTCTCAGTCAATGGCGCGTGGAGCCAATTCTGGGGAAGCCGTCTTTAGGCAGTTTATTTCTCACATTATTTTTAACATTTTTCATGTTGGAAGTTTTCTGTTTCATGTTACATAGAAAAAGTTGGATGATTTTGCCCTCGATGGATCAACGGTCGAAATTGCCACATATTTACTGAATTACTTTAGGCAAAAATTGTGGCCCTAAAGCAGTAAATTCGTATATCTCGTAACTTACGGACTCAGATAGGTCCGCTCTGATATGTTGGCTTATCTCAGTTTAAATTTCAACATTAGTGGATCATCGTGTGGGGTGATCGTTAGGATTGGGGGTTGTCATTACTTGACAACCATTGCTTGTGCTAGAAATTAGGATTACTTGCTCTTTTGTGATTGGGTAATTATTTTTGAATAAATTATCGTATTGTGCTTTGTGCTAAAATTGTCGTGAAACTTCTTTTGATTGGATATACCTATCTTGTTGCATCATAAGTTCCGTTGTGTTGTTACTTTTGTTAGAATACCTAGACCTTACCCGTTTGAACGTTCCCTTGATCTAAGACCACGAGTTTTACGAAACTTTGGGAATTTAGAACGGTGTATATTGCGGTCGTAGGATTACTTTGTGTGATCTATTTGCCCAATTGATTGCTTTGTTTCTCAAAAATGTCTTCGCATTTCGAAGTTGATATTTTTCAATGGAAAAGGTGATTTCTCAATCTGGCAACAAAAAATGAAAGGTATTTTGGCCCAACAAAAGGTTTCAAAAGCCATTGAAGGCAATTTTTCAGCTAATTTTTCAAAAGAACAAAAAGAAAAAGCTGATGAACTTGCTTATACCTCAATCATTTTACATCTATCCGACGCTATTTTAAGAAAAGTAGGAAAACTGAAAACCACTAAAGATCTTTGAAAAAAGTTGGAAGATCTATATTTGTTTAAATCCGCTCCGAATAAACTTTATCTTCTTGGGCGTTTCTTCAGTTTTAAAATGGATCTTTCAAAGGATCTTGACGACAATTTAGATGTTTTCAATAAATTTGTCCAAGATATTGTTAACTGTGAAGACATCGTATCTGAAACCTACAAGACTATAATCTTACTTAATTCTATGCCTGAGTCATATAAGGAAGTTAAAAATGCCATTAAGTATGGTAGGGATATGTTGACTCCCAAGATTGTCATAGACTCATTTAGGAGTAAGGAAATGGAAATAAATGTTGAAAATGTAGATAAGAGGAGTGGTGAGTTACACATGATAAGTAGTAGGATGAAATTTAAGTAAATGAATTTGGATAGAGCTCAAAATAGTGGTGATTCGAGTAGTGACTCGAGTGATGAAGGTGGTAAGATGAAGGGCAAGGGACGGGACAAGTCTAGTGGTAAGCGGTGTTATAGTTGTAGTAAGTCTGGACACTTTATTAGGGATTGTCTCAAGAAGAAGGATAAACAGAAAGGTAAGATGAGAGGCGAAACGAATGTGATTGAGGGGTTGAGTTATGACCCCAGTGAAGTTTATTGAGAGAGTAAACCTAGTCACTGCATATGCATTTGTGTGTGATCCTTTCGGCATGTGTGTGATTGCCTAATTTGTTGCATTTCAATTTGTTTGATATGTGTGTTTGTATGAATTTGAGGTAATGTGATTACTTGGTGTGATCGTTTGCATACATAGTGGGTTAGGATGTATTAGCAGTGTGTTAGATGTCTTTTGGTAAGGTGGAGTATAGATGCCTAGAGGTGCATTGGTGATATGCATGGGGGATGTGGAGTGTGACATTTGGATCACGAGTGGAGATGTGATCAAATGTGTAGAATCTTTTATCTGTGAAAGAGACCTTGATCAGGTGGAGTGCGAGAGAGACACTTCTATCACTTCTGTAAGGTGGAGTCCCATTATCCACGTAGGTTGGGAGAAGTGATATGGTGATAGAGGATTATCCCGTGGACATGAGTTGAGCGATCTATTTAGTGAGCATAGTAG